ACCATAACATTTATTATAGAGCTTTAATATGAAGAAAATAGACTCTACATGTACAATCAATGTCAATCACTGAAGCACCCAATATATCGCAATACCGGTACCAGAATCGAAATATAGTGTAATAAAATTTATTTGCCTATACACGACCCTATCTCCAAATGCTTATTACGACGATTCACAGTATCGAAATATTGTACAATAGTTCTGAAATAGGTCGTTGTCTGCAATAATTTCAACATTATCTAACTAGCTCAAAAATTAGGCCAAATAAAAAAAATGTTGTGGTTCCGATTACACCTCTTAAAAATTTAGGGTAGGTAGGTAGGTAGGAATTCTTTCTTTTTTACATTTTTATAAGAAGTAAAGTATGAACTAATAACACTTTTTCATCAATGTGTAATTGTTTATACAAACAAGCTTGCGGCCATCATGTCTACTTTCTCTATCAGAATAACCGTTGTGCATTGGTGACGGGCAAAAACAATGGAATCTGAAAGCTTATTTTATGCATACCTCATAAAAAAACTAGGGTCGGCACAAGAATTCAAGAGTCGGTCGGGTACTCGGAATCACATTTTTTTAGACCTTAGATCAGGTTCAGCAAACCAGGTTACAGATCACAGGGGCATCTATCTACGGCAGTAAGATATAGACACAGAAATACAGAAACAACTGAGTGCCAAGTGACAACTGTGGAGTCACTAATCAGTAGTGACCTGTCTGAAATGTTTAACCACCCGAGCCACCTGTACAGACATACAAGCTACACACTGGAGCTGGGGACAAGGACAGTATCACAATCTTGAATCTTTACAAAATTGCCTGATAACAAATGATGTTCAGAACTGCAACTAAAACACTCTAATCATAATCATATTGCACCTGTTCCTCTACTATAATCCTGACAATTATTAGCTTGAACAGCAAAATTATCGGCATCATGAAAGGTCTATAAGTCAATCATCTATCTTGTCATATTCACATGAGATGACAACACCGACAGAGCATCCAGACCAAATTACCAGATGGGAAAACAGATACCTCTCCCTTGACTTTTTGATGTATCATTATTCCAATAAAACTTTTGTCAAAATGTTTCTCCAGGTTAGTCATTGAGTCGTAACAGATCTTTGACAATCCATGTGTTTCTCTACCAACATGATACTTCCTTGAAGAAATAACTGTACCATCACATTCCTACATTAATCTGGCATTGGGCCAACCCGTTACGTCCCAGTAAACAAATGGTAAATACAAGCACTCACCAAAATGTGCACCCTCTCATTCCAAGACATGCTCATTACAGGGAAATAAAGCAAGTAACACAAATAAAGAAGTCTTGGATCTCATAGAAAGTTGTTTAATGTGTTTTGTGGGTCCAGTTATAGTAAACACATGAGGCTTAAATAAGAAAGATTAAAGTGTGAGTGAGTTTAGTTATACGCTGCATTCAGCAATATTCCAGCAATATCACACTGGGGGACAGGTCTTTGGCGTGACGAGTGAACGTTTTAACCACAAGGCTACCCCCAGCACACCTTAGGAAATATTAAAACAAACAGTTTACAGCTGAATCCAAAAGACACAATACAACCTTTGCCCTGACAGGTGATGCATGAACAATAAGTGTTTTCACTGGACACAGATAAAGCAATAATCCACATATAACTGTACTTTCCTGCATTACAGATCATTTATATAACCTGCGAGTACCAATAATTGTCATGATTATGCCAGTATAAGTGCCCTTTCATTGGAATTGTATGCGACAAGATCTACTTTTAATGTATGTTTTTAAGTATGGTATACTGTGTTATACGTACTTTCAAGTCAAGCAAAATCTGCATGTGCCAATAATTATAACAAAACGTTAGAAAGTGTTTTTAACATAACCCTGGAAAAAAGCTCAGCATGGCTTTATACTTCAACAAGACATAACAGGGTTTTGACTCGTGATTTCTACACTTATCTCTGTTTACAAGCACACAATGAAGTATATACACTGAAATCAAAATTTTTGTAACTAACTCTATAGTGAGTATGGTTTTACGCCACTATTAGAAATGGGCTTCACAAATTGAATCGAACCCGGGCCTTTGAGCGAATGCTTTAACCACTTGGCTACCCTACTGCCACAACTATCTGTGTAAGTTACATAGCTACAATTTTCTCCTGCTTATGTATCACATGATTCTATGTTTGGGACCATCTGGAGTATGGGATTTTCTAAATTTTCAGCAGAAACGCATGTATGTCCAAAAGATAAGTGGAAATTCAGGATATAGTCATCACATACTAAATTATCAAGGGTTGGGAACTATTGTATGTTTGTTGCTCAACACCACATTCACCAATATTCCAGCTCAATGATAGTGGTAATATGATCAAATCCAGTATTGACAATCCAGTGATTGACACCATGAGCAATAATATACTCAGCATGAATCAACCAAGCTTGACAATCCAACCTGTTAGTCGTTTCTTACAACAAGCATGGACTGCTTCTCAGCAATCAGTTCTCCGTGGGATCTTCTCCTGTTGGTGGACTACTAACACCATGCATATGAACTTGGTAAAGAGGTAAAGAGAAGAGTTCTTCTAATGCTTTTTACTTGATCAATATCTTTAGTAGTCAGGGCATTATTTTAATATGGTATACTGGATCCTCAAACTCAATAGGACCTGCAAGTCCAGTGAGGTGCTACTTCCGGTACTAAGCTGGTTCCCGGCCCATTTTGCGTGCACAAACTTGCGATATGCAGCTTACTTCCGGTACCAGATTTCCGGTGACAAGCGTATAGTCAAGAATCAATTCTTGTTTCAAATTGCGCAACCGCCAAATATGACTTTACCATACCTGACCAAGTGTACAACCATGCTTAGCTTTCACAGCTGTTGACAGTCGTAATAGTTGGGGATGGTTAGATTGGAAATTTGGTACTCCTGCAAGGATTATCAGTTCTTTACTGACAACCATGAGACCATTCGAAAAGGTATGAAACGTTGTTTGTTACCGGAAATACTAAGGTCTCGCGAAGTGCAGTGACCTACTTGCGGGCTCTATTAGGACTGAATTATTATCACATGACCATGGCTTAAGAAATGGGCATAACTAAGGGACGAGACTCTGTACACATGATCTGTGGCATCTACATCTATTAAATTTAAAGCTGCAACAAATACTCTATGCGGTGAATACAGTATGTTTTACAAAGATGTTTTAATGAATATGAATATATATTCATGAATACTTTACGTTTAATTAACATCAAGGATTAAAACGATGCTTTGCAGTGATCAGCCAGTTGATTAAAGATAATTAACTAAAGGTAACTACCAAAGTTTCACGGACAACTTCCTGTACATATTCACTCGTGTTTCAAACCAATGATCAATCATGCAAAATTAACCAATTTTCAAAACCAGTTCTCAATTCTTATATTTTTAACCACACACATATTTCAGTGTTATAACTGGTACCACCATTTTAAGTCAAAAATTTGTTCACTCAATGTGAGTCTATACACTTGTTATAAGGTTAATATCCACTGGAGGGTATCTGTCAAACTGTATATTTGATAGAAGCGTCTATGATTCCTGTATCCCTGGTACCCAGAGTATCCATGCATCCAAGTAGAATCACACTGGCTTCATTCCTGCTACCACTGTGGTGTACAGTTATATAAAACCATCCTTATACAAGGGACATCACAAGGAAAACAACATCTGTTCAACAACAAAACGAGAAATCATACAGAAATAAGACATTCACTTGCTAGAAGATACATCCAACTTATTAGAGTCCAACTGTTGAATTAACATGCATTAGTAGATAACTTGTATTCCTATCAATCAGTGAGTGCCTGCACTGTAACTATGGAGTCATGCTGATTTCTTGTCATTAAAGAATACATCACAGGACTCACCATTGGTCCAGTTGGTCTTGTGGGTACCCTACTCAGTATCCTTCCCAGCCCTAATTTGGATACAGGTATACTGTGTGTCTGAACTGAAGGATCAACATGAAAGGATCCATATAACATTTATTTCAATAAATGTGTTAATACCTATTGCAAAAAATTCACTGACGTTATATGAAAAAAGCTAAACTTTAAAGGTTATTTTAAGTTATTTAGTAATGAATAAAACAAGTCAATTGCAATCCTAACTGCAAAACAGGTTGAATATTATTTCAAAGAAGCCTTTGAATATTCAGATTTAAACACCAAAATTTTCTTTCACAATGAATCTTCGCTATGACCTTTCAGCTGCTTCCTTGGAGACAGACAGCATTAGACACTTAGGAGGAAATTTCAATTTGTGCAATCATCAAGATTTTGAGGAAGTGATTTGCATATGTTGATTTGTGTATATATGGCTCGTCTAGAATATAAAACAGTTCATAACATAACTACTACATAGATATGTCATTTGGCTTGCCTATCTATCACCACATCGAGTACCACTGACCAATTTCACTTCAAATTTAGGGTTACTACAATATAACTCGAACGAACAAGCACCAAACACTGGAGGCCGCCATGTTGGATTCTATATAAAGCATGTTAGCCATTTAGGGTGTCACTGGGACGCACTTGGTCTTCTAGAAATACACATCTTGAACTCTAGAACAGTAAATATTACATCAACAATATTCATAATAGCCACCTGTGCACTCCTTATGTATCTCACAAGTTCATAAATGCTGCAATATTGGACAAATATCACGGTACTTTTTCTGCATTAGGCCACATACTGATGAGACTACGCCTGCCTGCATGTTAGTTAGCTATGACTGAAAAGTAGCTACAATACATGTATGACAATGTTTTGTCAGCTTCTAGACGATATATGACAATTGGAATTTCAAGTTTATTGTGTAATTGGTGTTTAACTTTAGACGATATGTGCCAGTTTTTATCGCACACGTGACTGCGGTTGTATCGCCGCATATAACATGGCGTCCAGACTCAACACGCTTCCAAGCATATTTCACTCACCTTCTGAAGTGACCTTCCCTGGAATAAATAAAGATATTTTCCAGCAAATGTTGAGTTGGGACACTTCCGCGAATCTAACAATATCGAAATTTCGATAGCTAACTATATATATAATGGCGAAATGCTATTAAATGGGTAGCTAGAGCCAGCTTGATCTGCCACTGAGTGATGTGTAGACTCAGTCACATGGCCTCGCATATCCAACATGGCAACCGAGATTATCCCCTAATCAGTCAAGTTGGGTTACTTTTATTTCAAAATTTGAAATGGGCCCTAAAATCATTTATACAAATTATGAGCACTTTTTATTATCAAAAAATATTGTTTTTCAATTTTATGCTTCCGTGCGAAAAATTACATATGTCGGATGGATCCACTCTGTTGGCGCGCGTGATGCGGTCTAGGGCGAATCACTTACAGCTTGATAGCGCTCCGCGAAATGAGGTTTTGCATTCATGAACATTGTTTGGTTTCGTTTTAATTTCAAACGAACAGTTTTTAAAATATCCCGAGTTATTGAAGTAGAATTTCATTTCGGGCCACGTTTATATGCTTGTGTTTAAACTGTCACATTAAACAATGCAATGTGTTGTTATCGGAGAAAGGCGCACCGACTCTGGCCTTTTATGGTTTGGGGGTGTTCTCGCTCGTCCTAAATTTCAATGAAACAAACTGACATCCGAAGTCCTGATTTCGTCACATATTAACCTTTTATAATGAAACTGGAAGTAAGGTGGGTGCATTATTATCACTGTCTCCTATTAACTAACATGATCAGTCGGGATCGTAAGCCTGAAACAACCCGCGCGAAGCATAACGCTTTCTAGTTAACCCCTCAAGGTCAGGTCAAGTTGGGTCACATATCTCAGGGGGCGGGACCGGCAGCACAACGTGGATAGGTGATACGTTGCAATGATGCAATAGGTTATTCGTGGGGTTTATTCATGGCTTCATCCAATATTTTTCACCGAAACCAGAATCCGATTACATCAGTGGGATACATATGTCTGGCATCGAAGGAACAAAATTAAACGTGCCGTTTTCTTTCAGCCTTTATAATAATATTCAGTATTTAGAATTATTTTATTCAGAAAATAGATAATTGTGCACCCGTTTATGCAGGAAAACATAACTGAACCCCAAAACACAAAATGATATCCTGATGTCCAAAACAAATTACAACATTTTCTTCATTTTGATGCTGAATTCGGCCCGACAATGTTCAAGTCTGCTGCCCTGGAATATATAAGTGACGTTTAAAACTATGTTCGGACAACCTTTGGTATTTGTTGAAATTGTTGACCGAGACAAGAGGTAAATATGTATTATGCAATGGCATGCAAGGAGAGACATTGTCGCAAAGTGAAGGTCAGCACTAATCTCCATTTCACAGCTAATGTGACAGTGGCATGGTGGGTTAGATATGGTGAGGGGATAGTTGAGTTGTTTTATTGCCGTTTTGGGTGAGTGAGTGAGTTTAGTTTTACGCCGCCTTTAGCAATATTCCAGCTATATGGCGGCGGTATGTAAATAATCAAGTATGGACCAGATAACCCAGTGATCAACATCATGAGCATCGATCTATACGCAATTGGGATACGACATGTGTCAGCGAGACTGACCACCCGATCCTGTAAGTCGCCTCCTACGACAAAGCATGGGTTGCTGAAGATCAAATGGAACCCGGATCGTCACGGGTAATGCTGTTTTGAACACTATTTCACTAATATCAAGGCGTGTCCGAAATCCCATGTCCAAGACTTGGATCACTTAAAGGTACGCTGGGGAACTGGTGTAGTGATAACAACGAATTTTAATTACCATATCTAATTTTCCAATCTGGTAGTTTAACCCATGAGTATAATCCTGATAAGCTAAGGGACAACTTTACTAATTACGACCCCTGAAACACCTGGATCAGATGAGTTCGAATCAAAATGTAACAGGCAAATACATATATACACCATGTCAAAAATGGTGTGCGTGTGTGTGTGTGTGTGTGTACGTGGATTTTGACGATACACACAGTGCGAAGTACCTTTTATTGGAAGAAAGACAAGTAATGTTATGAGTGAGTTTAGTTTTACGCCGTAGTTTTACGCTGGACCAGGCAATCTAGTGATCAACAGCATGAACATCGATCTGCGCAATTGGGAACCGATGACATGTGTCAACCAAGTCAGCGAGCCTGACCACCCGATCCCGTTAGTCGCCTCTTACAACACGCATAGTCGCCTTTTGTGGTAAGCATGGGTTGCTGAAGACCTATTCTACCCCGGATCTTCACAGGTCCCACACAGTACGAAGTACCTTTTGTTGGAGGAAAGACAAATAATGTTATGATGCCATGTTGTCGCTATATGACAGAAATAATGCCGATGCGACTTCAAATTTCAATTCACTCAAATTGTCTTCTTGGTGTTTAAGCACAGGATTCTGGCGCGTCGTTAGGAACCCGACTCCAAATCAGCTAATGATGGAGAACTAGATTTTATATATATGAACAAGAGTAACTGACCAGACATGTATATACCACCATCCCCCGGTTACTGAGTGAGTGAGTTTAGTTTTACACTGCACTCAGCAATATTCCAGCAATATGGCGCGGTCTGTAAATAATCTAGTCTGGACCAGACAATCCAGTGATCAACAACATGAGCATCGATCTGCGCAATGGGGAACCGATGACATGTGTCAACCAAGTCAGCGAGCCTGACCACCCGATCCCGTTAGTCGCCTCTTACGAGTGAGTGAGTGAGTTGAGTTTTACGCCGCACTCAGCAATATTCCAGCTATATGGCGGCGGTCTGTAAATAATCGAGTCTGGACCAGACAATCCAATGATCAACAGCATGAGCATCGATATGCGCAATGGGGAACCGATGACATGTGTCAACCAAGTCAGCGAGCCTGACCACCCGATCCCGTTAGTCGCCTTTTACGACAAGCATAGTCGCCTTTTACAGCAAGCATGGGTTGCTGAAGGGCTATTCTAATAGACCCGGACCTTCACGGGTCCGCCTCTTACGACAAGCATGGGTTACTGAAGGCCAATATTCTAACCCGGACCTTCACGGGTGCCCCGGTTACTAGTTTTAGCTGTGTTATACAGCCTTTCCTTTGTATGAGTTGTAGCAATGTTCCAGCAATATCACGGCGGGGATACCAGAAATGGGCCTCACACATTGTAGGGCCGGTGGGGTAGCCTAGTGGGTAAAGGGTTCGTTCGTCATAAGGAAGACCCTGGTTCGATTCACCACATGGGTACAATGTGTAAAGCCCATTTCTGGGGTCCCCTGCTGTGACATTGCTGGAATACTGCTAAAAGCGGCGTAAAACAAAACTCACACATTGTACCCATGTGGGGAATCGAACCCGTGTCTTCGGCGTGACGAGCGAACGCTTTATACACTAGGCTACCCCACCGCTGATTTTCTTCTTATTTTCTTTTTTATGCACTTACTTCGTACATGCAAGTGATTCTAAACCACTTTATGTAGATAGTGGTTGGTGGAGGGTTGGGGTTCCGGAATGACTGGTGGTCGTATTGTGCAGCGCAACAAATGTACGCACAAGTGACAAAAACAGTAAGATTTCAGACCATAACCATCGACAAAAATTTTGCATGGGTTAGGGCGGTCGTAAACCTTATCCTTACCAAATAAAATGTATGTACTTAAAAAGTTAGTCGATGTTTGGGTTTCGGTCGATAGTTTGACAGCACAAGCAGCGGCCAATATTATAGTAGTTATGCGTTTCGGTGCAGCTCAAAAACAAAATGTAAAAAGGGGTTTAGGGTCAAGACTTCAAGTCTGGATCGCGGAATACACATTCTAGTTTCATTATATCTCGTACTTGTAAGTAAATATAGTACTACATTGTATTTTGTTCCGGACCAGCGGACTTTGATATGGAGGCACTGTGTTCACCTGTGTATGCACCTTCCGACATGGGTGATCTTTAATTTTACGTCATTCGGATATTTAAAACTAGACCAGGTTGGTGATAAAATCAGATCGGCCATCGGATTCAGATGCACCTTTTCATGATCCGATTGAGAGACAATATTATATTACTCTCACCAATCTGCGGGGCTCGGAACATACCCACCGCCGTTTGCGTATGTTGTGGTAGGTATAGGGCGTTCTACAACACATCACACCGACAAACGATTGTCACCTTAGCTGTTTCATTGTATTGTTGGCACATAAAAGAAGAAAATGTGGTTTTACTGTCATCTTGCAGAACACGCTGCACAAGTTGATCTAAATCTTAACTATGATATCATTTGAGTAATGTTTGGATAGTTCACATACCTGTCGGCGTGGCCTTTCGTATTTCATGGTGAATTCTAGCGAAATCGGCTGCTGAATTCTATTGACATACCACTGCCCACACGACAGGCAAAGCTCGTGCATTTCGAGGCTGCACATTCTTCTTTGAACTGTCCGCTAGGGGGACAGCCTGACATCGTTTTTGTTATCACGTGCCCAAAATATATTTTGATAAATTATTTATTACTCCATTGAATCGACATACCAAGTACCTGATTTAGTCACTCATTTCGTTCTGGACCTTTCGAGTGTCAACTGAAAATACACCCAGGATGAACAAAGGGAGATAATTTAACTTGATTGCAAAATTTACATGTTGGTTTAGCTGTTGACAAACTTACTTGGTTGCAACAGACAACATCCAGATATTGAGTCTAATAAGACAATTCCAAAAGATTAAATGTTTGTTATTTCACTCCGCTTGTCCATGCAGTTGTAAACACACCTTTTAAAATTCGTCGGCGTTGTCGTGTAGATGAGGTTGTTTTGACTCGCCTCAGACTAGGTCATTGTGACATGCATATTGAAGCATTTTAGGTAAAGACATTTCCCCTCAATGCGAATACTGTAACTAAACTGTCCAGACACTGGTCCGCACTGTCTCATTGAAAGTCCAGCTCATGAAAGACCAAGTTTAATTAAAGAAACTGTGCTTAACAATACCTAAAACATGTTTACACTGAACACAATACTCGGGGATAATTTAATGTATGGTTGCATACAAAGAGCTGTGTTAGACTTCCTCAGTTTGACATAATTTAACTGAACATAACTGAGTTTGTTAATTGTTGGGCGCATATATTATATACATGTATATGCCTTTTCATGCAGGACCAAGGTCGCCCTCACCTACCTTACCTTACCAACATCAGCGCTATAACAATCTACTACACCATAATCGTAATTCTAAAAGACGTAACTAGATCCGGGTTGATGTATGTCACTGTATCCCCATTGTGTAAATCGCTGCTCAAGATTTATGACCCAGACTCGACTATTTACAGATCGTCTTCATATAGTTGGAAAACTGCGACCTAAGAACGCTTCGAGTGAATGAGTTTAGTTTTACGCCGCACTCAGCAATATTCCAGCTAAATGGCGGCGATCTGTAAATAATCGAGTCTGGACCAGACAATCCAGTGATCAACAGCATGAGCATCGATCTGCGCAATTGGGAACCGATGACATGTGTCAACCAAGTCAGCGAGCCTGACCACCCGATCCCGTTAGTCGCCTCTTATGACAAGCATGGGTTACTAAAGATCAATATTCTAAGCCGGACCGTCACAGGTTTAAGAACGCTTCGAGCAGGTGCGGGCTCTTCAGTCATTTGTTTTTTCGTGGGAAGGGCATCAAATGAAACCGCCTGTGACGTCATAAACAACAGAAGACGTCACCATTAGGCGACAGTGTGTTGATCTGACGACACGGGCCGCTTTGCAAGCAATGCAAATAATGTAAAACATGAACTACCAATCATAATGAAGCCAAAATGATAAAATTCTGTAATCATTTCATCCATTGGCGTATAAATTCCAGGGCCTAGATTTCCGAAGCTCTCTTAGCGCTAAGATAGTCGTAAGTGCCATACATTAACATTAACTTACGACTATCTTAGCGCTAAGAGAGCTTCGAAAATCTAGGCCCAGAGGTATGTACGTAGCCAAAGAAGAAAATATATAGTTTTGTTCATTGTTTCTGGCAAAGGTAAATGCCAATTACATACGCTTCTCACTGCTCTGTGTGTGTGTGTGTGTGTGTGTGTGTGTGTGTGTGTGTGTGTGTGTGTGTGTGTGTGTCCTGGTAGTTAAAGCGTTCGCTCATCACGCCAAAAAACCGGGTTCGATTCCCCATATAGGTACAATGTGTGATGCCCAATTCGGGGTGTCCCCAACCATGATATTGCTGGTATATTGCTAAAAGCGGTGTAAAACCCAACTCACTCACTCACTGCTGTTAGGATGGGAACGATCATTTGACGACTATCACCGTCTGTGTCCATTGCGTTACGTCATCACAACTCCACACATTTCGTCCGTCTGTCATCATGATGTTTATCAAAATGGCGATTTGTAACAAAACCAAAAGACTGGTCGCATCTTTCAGCTGTAGATTATTTCAAACATATTTTATTGTGTTTTGTGGTTGCATTAACATCGGTATATCCCTTCACTGAGTAATCACGGGACGACTCTGCTGGGATTGACAGAACTAAAAACTGAAAGTTAACATTTGAATAAGAACAGAACATTTATTCAGGCAAATATTTTAACCGTGGGATACGCTGCAATGCCGGGCACCAGTTTCTTGTCGTGGTCTAGACGCTGCAATTAGTGTCATGTGAAAGAGAATTATTGTCTCTGTGTAATTTACCTGGTAGCTGGTAGCTTCTGTAACAATATTTGAGTTGAGAAAACTAACACGAGGATTTTGACTTGACTCAGTATGTAGGGTTGCCAATTAACTTTGACAATGCGATGCGTTTTATCAAGTCGTCATCCTTTGTGAATGATATGAATGTGTTCCTTAAAATGTCCCGGTATCTCCCATGCGATAAATATGATAAATAATGAAGTAAAACAAACATTACGTCTGGTTATGGGAAGTATCTCAACTGGGCTTTGGATACTAACTGAAGGATGCGTCTTTAATGAAAAGTTGCATACCGCAGAGATATTCAGATTAACTATAATATAGGATTCAGCGGAAACTAATAGCATATTGACATCTGGAATTACATGTGTCATGGTGTAGGAGGTGGGATAATAAACTACACATTGGTTTAAAGACACGATCCTTCCATTCGTGCGACACAGGTAAGCGGGCTCATGCCATCTAAATAAGAACATCTGCTGAACAATTCAGTTCACTGTTATTGCTGTAAAATCTTGAATAAATAAAAACAAACGATCGTGTTTTTGTAAACGTAAGACCGGGAATCCTTCAGGTCAAGGCGCCCAAACACTATCACAAGAAAATGAAAGCAAAGCATTTTCTAAAAATGTTTGTTACTTTATGCACACGAGGCATCCTCGATAATCTCCAGGGTATACGTTCCGATAAATCTCCACTAAACCCTGGATGCATCTACGGCTCGAGCCGATGATTTTATTACCTCCCTTGGTTGTCTTTTTATCCAATCAGGTGTCTACGCTGGGAAGTTGAGCGTACCAATCACAACTCACTTTCGCTTTTTAAATTATCTAACCGACTAAACTTGGCAACACAATAATATACTGTTTCAGAGGTACTCTGAAAGAGGTAGAAGGTGTTGCATATATTTTTTTAAGATTTCAGACCTGTCAATTTGTCTGTATAAACTGCGACCGCTATCTTTGTTGACACTGGCAAGCTCGGTTGTAACGGCGACTTATCTGATTGGCCACTGTGAGAATGCGGAGCCAGCAAAGGGAGGTAATAAAACAATCGGCTCGAGCCGTAGATGCATCCAGGGTACAGTGGAGATTTATCGGAACGTATAACCTGAAGATTATCGAGGATGGCACACGAGGTGGATAGTGGCCTTTACTTACCCTTATAAATGATACTGTTGTTTTTCTTTGTCGACCTATGTAAAATTACGTCATGAAGTCACAGTTTGATGTACCGTCATGTCCCTACATGCTTCACAGAATGTTAACATGTTTTATGAATTAGTTAAATCTGCCATTAATTACCTTCTTTATCACTATGCATCACGATGCAATTTCATGCTATCCCGTACACCATCGACTCAGGATATATGAGCAATTTAAGATGAAGTCAAGTATGTCATGTATATATTTGAGTGAGAAATAACAGGTGTATTTCCAAGTTCAAATGAAACAAAAATAAAGCTATACCTGTAAGCTGGCGGGCAAAACAGTTTACTATATACCCATGCACACTTAGGACAGTGATACAGGGGTGCAATACGGATGACGTCGTCAAATTCCGTATTGCACCCCAGATTCCGTATTGAACCCCTATCGGTTCTACTGATTTGTTATATTAGTAACAGATTATTTCAAGATAAGAGTGTATATAATAAATATAGAACCTCATACTAGTGCATTTGGATGTTTTGTATTGAACGAGAAGAACTCTTTGTTTCTCTGCACCCATGACATCTTCTCGTTCAATACAAAACATCCAAATGCACTAGTAGGACGTTCTATACATGTATACACTTGAAAATTGGATTTGAATTTGCGACAACCATGTTCCCGGTGATTTCATGTGTACGCCATGTGTTGTGTGACACTCATGGCAATGATTTATCACAATTTCTTCAGCCACGATCAAACATAGGCATACTTTCTTATTCTGGTAATTTGTATTTGATTTGAGTGGAGTGAGTGGGTGAGTGAGTTTAGTTTTACGCCGCACTCAACAATATTCCAGCTATATGGTGGCGTCTGTAAATAATCGAATCTGGATCAGACAATCCAGTGATCAACAGCATGAGCATCGATCTACGCAGTTGGGATACGATGACATGTGTCAACCAAGTCCGCGAGCCTGACCACCCGATTCCGTTAGGCGCCAAGGTCACAACAGGCGCCTCTTACGACAAGCATGGGTTACTGAAGATCAATTCTAACCCGGAACTTCACGAGTTGAGAAAATTACATTTGCATTGACAGTTCATGTGCAAAAACTGCTTCGATGTGTTGAGAAATGTTCATAACTAAATAACAATGAATGAAAACGAGCATACACTGGGACGTATTTACATTAAATGTATATTTAAGACTATATGTACCGATCGCGTCGGCCGGCGATTGAATCCATGGTGGCATATTTCATCACGTGACACATGCAGCAGCTGTCAGTCAGATTGATGGACTGAAGATTTGATTTCACAATCGCCGCCTCGTACACGTGTCAACAGACTACTCTCGAAGTACATGTCAGGTGAACGACTCACGTGTCGTCTGCAAACAATAATTACTCAGCACATTTTACGAGAATTTGTGTGGCGGGGGAATGTAGGTCTTCCTCATTCACGTCATCCTCTTCACTACACACACTCCTTAGCCCACTAAACAACACCCGACCCTTCAAAGCCTTAGGTACATTCCTAATCAAAACTGGCCTTCTAGGTCGCATATAATCCGTTTAACCAACTAGTACAAATATAAATGAATCAACACAA